GGGAGTCTTGGGGAGAATCAGAACCTAGAAAAGGGGAGGAGGAGATGTTAAATTAATTTTTTAGAAGTTTTAATGTTGGAAGCTGAGGACATGTACCCTTTGTCTGACCCCACTGCCCATGGGAAGCTATCTTGAGTGTCCACATTTTGGTCTAACAGTAGCTTCTTGGCCACAATACAAGTTTTGCCTCAGGACAATCAAGTAGTGAGGCACACACATTTCTTTCAAAACAAGATATTGGGATCTTCACAAAGGCTTTGCTATTATCTACGTATAAAGCATAGTATCAGGCATTTCTCGCTCCATACTGAGTAAAAGTCTTTTTTTGCAACACCATGAGCTTTGTTTTGCTTGCATAGGCAATGCAGTGGTTCTAAAGTTGCTGCCGTGTGGATAATGGGAATGGAACTCCTTAAAAATGAAATGCCCACCCCTGGTGGCTTTCCCTCACTTTCTAAAATGGCCGGTTCTTCATTGCACGGCTCTTCGTGAATCTGTCATTCTCACACCTCTCCTGTACAGTGTTTCCTTATTTTCTGCCTTCTCCTTCCTTCATCCTGGGTATGTTCTCTTGTTGATCTTTCAGGGTCCCTATATCAGGTTTACATTTCCCTTAGATTTCTTGGATTTTATGGAAGAGATTTTTAGTTTTCTCTCTTTTTCCCCCCTCTTATTTCTTCACACCAGCGATTATAATTGTGGTTTGTTTTTTGTCTCTACACAAGTCATTGAAAAGTTGCATTCTGGATTCTGGCCCTATTTTTATTTATCTTTTCATCCATCAATAACAATTTTCTGAGTCATCTTCTAAGCTCTCCTTTGCTTTTTGTACTGGAATTTTGTCTCTGGTTTTGATCCACAGTTCCTTTGATTTATGGTTGTTGAATTTAGTAATGGAAATCTATTCTTTATGAGGATTTATTCTCTGTTTCTATGATATTACAGCTTCTCTGTCTTTTGCTCCCAATTCTGTAGTGCATCTGATTTCTGTATTGGCCATCTAGTGATGTCCAGGTGTACAGTAATCTGTCTGGTTGCCTCAAGCATGTATTTGCATTTAGATTGTTGACTTCACAAAACTCTCCTTCTTGGTTTCTAATTTCTAGGTCAAATTCTTCAACACTTGGTTCTGCTTTGTTTCCTACTTTTACTGCTGCCACCTGACAGCTGCCCTACAGGGGTTTCCCTACCGCCATCACTGATGGAACTGTCCATTCTCTTCTGCTGATGGGACCATTAATCCAGGAGGAGCGTGGATGCATTGTAGTCTTGACTGTTCTGCCTTGGGCATCCCTACTAGGGGGAGTCCAACCAGGATAGTCAATAGTTGAAGTGAGGGGAGTTCAAGAGTAACACCATCTGGGCACAAACACCCTCCTCCTGAAATTTGGAAGTGGCCTTTTTGCTCCAACCACAATCTGGCCCTGTAGGCAGGACCTCAGTTGGAGAAACACACTTGTACACCTCCTCCTTTCCTGATCCAGTCCTTTCTATATATATAAAAAATTAAATTAAATCATGTCCTTTATTTCAAAAAAGTTAAATAAAAAAAACAGCACTTTTAAGGTTCCATTCCATACAAAGTGATATCAATATTATTTACACGAAATGATTCACAGCACAAGGCTGAGAAACTCTTTTCTTGCCTATTTTCTGTTTAAGATGTTGTGCAATTGCACACTCACCCCATCTGTCACTTATTAGATATTTAAGCTAATTAAGAGGATGTCATCATTTGGTAATACCTTACATTCCAACTTTCCAAACACCTTAATCATGTTTGTTTTTTCCTTACACAAGGCTTTTCTGAGCATTACATGATTCCATTTTATTTCCCTGAGAACTCTTGATCATATTAGCAGCAACTAAACAGTCACAGTGTTGAAAACTGAAGATATAGAAGCTTGTTCCCCTCTCACTGGAAATTAGCAAGAGAAGAGGATCCACCTCTGGAATTGACATCATCCAGGCTTGGATTTTTGTCTGCACCATTTTATCACAGACAATAGAATATCTGGACAGAAACATGATTTTGCTAGGAAACAAATAATCTCTTCATAAATTCCTTCTAAAGACAGCTGCATGATCCTTTTAGATGGTCAATGGCATCAACGCTCCTTCCATACATAGTAATTAACTGGGGATGTACCCTGAAGATGAGAGAAGAACACAGTACATATTACACATGACATAATGTGACATATGTCATATCAACATCATTAGCTTTATGATAGTAATATGACATGTTACTTGAGCACTTATGAGCAACTCTACAGAAATAAAAAAAAGTTCTAATTTTACCTATAATTTTACAAATTAAAAAATCGTAAGTTTTGCTACTATCCTAAACAATATAGGTCTGTTTTACTCTCCAGAGTTCTTGTATGCCAATTTAATTTATTACAAATGGGTTATTCATGTAACCAATTTGTTGAATCAAATGGTCAGAGCTATTAATATTAAACACTATACAAATGAAACTGCAGCCCTAGAGAATCTGAGGTCTATGTTTTCCATCCATGAGAAATAAGCAAAGGCAAGGAAGCTTCTTCAGAGACCCTCCCTGACAGTAAGTAAGAAATATTGGTTTCACTGGCCAGCTCAATTTTTCTCATGCATTACAAAACAAGGAAAGAAAACAGTGCACATAGCTACAACTGTACTTGAAACAGGATGTGGCATCTCAGTGTAACACCTGATTAGAACTGTATAGTTGTCCTGAAACATATTTTCTGGTGTGCAGGGACAGGCACAACTTTGTTATGTATCATCAAGTCAGAACTTACTTATTGTGGCCCTAAATAGGCTTTCAAGGTAAGTGAGATCTTTTCAGGCCTGGTTTCACCCGTTTCACTCCCCCTCCCAGTGAGTTCCCATGGCCAAGCAGAGATTTATACCCAAGTCTCCTGAGTCCTAGTCCACCACGTTATCCATTATACCACACTGGTTATTGTGCAGTTTTACATTTTACTTCTGTAGCACTCGGAAGCATTTGCTATCTCCCCAAGGTTGAAACAAATAACGCATCATAAAATAATTTGAGGTATTTGCCACTCTCATTGTTTTACATTTCTGACATACATGCCTTCAAGGACTGGATTTACACCAGATAGCCTCACCAAATTTGTGGACCTGGCAGATAGGCCTAGATGCCTAGAGACCAATCAACATGTTACATAATCCCATGTACTGTAGAGGCATTGGACCAACTCTACCATTGTAAAGGAGAACAGCCGAGCAAACATACACACCAAACAGAACACCGTCACAATGGTGAGAAGACTCTAGCTTGTGTACTTTTTGCTGCATTTGTTATTAAGCATAATAGTCACAGAAGACCAGTGGGGGGTAGGTGGATTATGGCACTGCAGTTTGGGCCCTGCTGCTAAACTACATATTGCAGTCAATTAAGTTATCAATTAAATTGGACATCTAATGGAACTGAGCTATTTAATTAGTCCTTAACGTAATGTTACATCAGGGGGGTTACATCAGCATTTCTACAACAGTAACTTAGTCAGGTATGGGAGAGTACAGAGAAAGAAAGCTGTTCCCAGACAACAGGATCATCCATAAAATATGTAACAAACCCCCTGTTTCTCCTACCACTCCAAGATCTCTATTGCTCAGCCAGATGAACTATCTTAAAGCAAGCTAAAGAAATTGTAAAGGTAAGGACATGAAATTATATGGGGAGGGAGAAAGGGAAAAAAGAAAGGAATCGTTTTCAGTTGAATAGACAGGAAATAGGACTACTAAAAATGCTTGAACCTCTTTAATTCTCTCCAAATATGGCCAAAGGTGAGGAGAAAAGTAAAAACTAGAATTTTTCACTTTTATTCTCGTAAGACATTCAAGTAACATAATGTAATGAAAATTAAATCACTAAAGTAAATTTCTTCTTTTCACCATAAATGTAGTTTGATTCAAGTTTTTAAGCTTATCAAATGTTAACATGTGAACATTTTCCACGGATTTTCCAGTCTCTGGTTGCAACCATGTTTGTGTGTGTGTGTGTGTGTGTGTGCGCGCTTTATGCACTGTGGAGAAACTGGACCAGAAGCATAGTGTGCTGGTAAGCGAGTAGTGCGAGTGTGCGAGTAGACATGGTCTAGAGGGGCGGGGTAAAAATAAAATAAATAAATAAAATAAATAAATAAACCCTAACATAGGCAAACCCTAACATGGCCCCACACAGCTCTGCCTATCTTAAATTCAAAGTCTTCAACTATAGTACACAAAACCTTTTAAGTAGATATCAGAGGAATTACTAATTCTAATGGACCAGTTAGTGATTACTAAAGGTCACGTGCCCGCATTTTACCCTACCGAACATGAACTTCTGATGGCCATTCCATTAAATCTCCATCTACATTCCAAGGGTATGTATCCTTTTGTGCAGAATCTACAGAATTCAATCTGTCTCTAGGAATGAATTCCTTTTCAGTCCTCAGACAAACTTTTACTTCTTCCACAATGTGAGTTTCAACAAAAGGAAAACTGAACTAAAAAACAAACAAACCCAAAAAAAACATTTATAAAAGAAACCGTTAAACATTCTAAGACACTTGTCATTTTGATTTTTCCCCTCCTTGAAGGGTGAAGAAGATGTGCATATGTTTTCGTTTGTATGTGTAGAATAAAATACTTGTCAGCAATTATCTCAAACACACTAAACTTGACAATAATCTCAAATGGTCTTACAATATAAAGTTTTGAAAGTCCTGATTCGGGAAGGAAGATACATTTCTGCAGCGCAGTGCAACCTCCTCCGCATCAATGCTTTTCTTTTCTCATTTCTTTCTTCTTGCCAGACAGAAAATCTAGCAATGCTTTTAAAACAATCATGGTTGGAAATGGAATCCATGGCAAAGATTCTATCTTTTTTTCAGTATAAGAGTTCTTTAAATGTAGGCCATAAGTGTCTAAGTAGCACGACTTGCAATCAAAAGTTTGGATCCAAATTTAGTCATAAAGTTAGAGCAGGCCCACTAAAATTCATGGGACTTAAGGTAGCCTGGGATAATGTACATCACATCAGTTTTAATGGGTCTGCTGCGAAAATGACTTAAACCTTGGTCCAAAATGTCACATCAACAGTGCCTAACTTTGCTGGATTGTGTCCTGAATGTTCCGTGGAATGCAAATGCCTCTCATAATTAGCGCTCTGCACTAATGGAGCAGTATGTAAATCTGAATGAATGAATGAATAACCTAGCTTTGAAAAAAGCCCATTAAAACTAATGAGTACTCACAGTTTATTTTAAAACCTGTGATTTAAAGGAAACTTGTGCTGCATGGAACTGTATTTGAGCTCCTCGGATCCAGTAATGAAGATGGACAGCAGAAAAGCAAATGTTCACTTAACCCACAAGAAACAGTGTCCTGTGCTTCCACACTTTGAGCAACACAAAATCTTCATCTACCTGGAATGATCTAAATGGGTTCAGCTTTTCTAAATTAAAGGATATAATTGCCTGAGGATAGTTTCAAAAAACCCAGAAATTGGTCTGTGAGGCTCTGCTTTTGTGTTACTGCAATAGGAAGTAATCAATTAAAAGATTTTCCTTGCAATAAAGAGTATATGGAAAATGACAGATTTAGAAGAGGTCAGCCGTGTTAGTCTGTGCAAGCATATCAGGTGAAATCCAAAGAAACAAAGCAAAACAAAAGACAAAAACATGTGGCACCTTAAAGATTAACCCTGATATTTTAATGTAAGCTTTGCCACATTCTAAATGGTCGTCAGACATTAAGAAACAGAATGGAATGTAGATAAAATATCAGTTCCACATTCTAAATGTTCATTGGTTACATGCAGTAATTGGGCTTGTGTTTGTTTTAGGATCTTGTTGCAAAAATTCTTCAAGAAGACAGAATCATCACAAATCAAGAATACAGAGAGAAACAGCTGAAATAAAAATTTTATACATGATGGACACCCATAGAAATGGATTGAATATAAGCCTAGGTTTCTTAAGTCACTACCAAATGTAACACTTCTGCTGTTACCCACTGCCACTGTTATTTTCTTCACAACTACCAAGCCCATCTCTCATCACCAGGCACCAAGGTAAAAGCTGTCTATATTCCCTACACTAACACACATGAGTCCTCTGCTAACTTCTTTCAGTCTTTCTTTTCCCTCTTGAGGTTTAATTATCTCATCAACCCTACCCCCCTCTCTCTTATCTCCCCCCCCCACATCTCTACTCAGACCCGGTGTCTGTTTTCTGTCTTCTTGAAGAATTTTTACAGCAGGTGCATAGGCCTAATCGCTGCATGTAACCAATGAACATTTAGAATGTGAAACTGTTATGTCGTCACATCTCATTCCATTCTGTTTCTTTATGTCTGACAGAGTGGGCGTGTCCATGAAAGTTTACATTAAAATATAATAGTCTTCACAAGATTTTGTTTTGGTTTGTTTCTTTGGATTTTGCCTGATATAGAAATGCTAGGGTAACACTTCTTCTCTTGGCCCTGTAATATGTACCATCACATACTCTTATGTCATGCTGATCTTCACCTTCATTCTATACCTCTGTCTCAATCAGCAATGAAATGAGTAGACCAGACATCACCTGGTTTGGATTTACCCTAGTAGCAGTGGTGAGCAGTTCTTAAAAGGCCCCAGAGATACACTACAACAGGGACCTTGTCAGTAATTTGAAAGGGTCAACAGACTGCAGCTGCCTGTGTTTCCATCACCATCTCACATCAGTAAACTGGTGGTGATGATGGCACTTTCCTCTACGATCCAGTTTCTCAAATCTCAACCCTGGGACTTTCAAAACACTGAAAAGCAATTTCCACAAAACAATTTCAAACAAACACACATGCATATGCTTTTGCTCATATTTACCAGAACTCAACCCTAAGAGGATCTGACTTAGTGCAGCCTTGACCAGAAGACTCCATGTGTTTAATACAAATCTGAGTCTCCCACAACTCTGAAATCCTCTTGTTTTCTACTCCTTTAAGGAAGTGTTCCTCTGGTGCTTTCTGAACAAATACTCATGAAGCACATCCCATAGTGATGCAAAAGACCACACTCTCTTCCCTCCTGGTCCCCAGCTAAAGATAACGCTGCATGGGATGGGTGCCATTTTGGTCTCTCTGTGTGTGTGTGTTAAACTGTAAATGTACTACAGAATCTGTTGTGCTGTTAATCTTTTTTTTCCTTCCTCCCTTACTGTGTGTACAGATGAACATTAAAAATTCTATCAACAAAATGTCATCACTTTCCATTTGACTCTAACCTCAATGTATTCTTCATTTAAATATAGATTTTTCACAATCAGTTTAGCAGCTTTACACGCTAGTAACTCCCTATATGTAAGAACCATATATAACTAAACCACAACAGATGGACAGAAATAGGCTAATCGGTATTAGTCTGATTGGTGATTTTCAAAAATCAGATAAAAGTGGGCTAATGTACTCTGACAGGAAGCTAAGTCTCCTTACAAAGGCACCAACATCTTCTGCAAAGCATTTACTTCTATCTTAAATCTTTATCGGCTTTTTTTTTTAATATTATATTTCAGATATTTTGCTTTGTGTTTCTAATCATGCCACTGTTACCTGTTCTAGTATTTGCTACACACCGTGGTTAAATAAATCTAATCAAAACAATTTGGGGTTGCAAAATATAAAGATAAGCTGTTACCTGGTTTTTCACACTAGCATATCTTCTCAGGTGTTTAACAAATTCCGGACGAGAAGTATTTCGTACAGCAATAAGAGCAAGGGTTCCATCATTAAGTCTTTAAAAAATGACATATTTCAATTAAAACATTAAATCTGATGCCATTTTTTTTTTATCATCAGCGCTATTATAAAGGAAATAAACCTCAGATGTCTATTGATTAAGATACAGGTACCTCTAGCATTTCATCTACTTCACAGTTTTTAAAATAAATTATATAAAATAAAGTTCAATCAATATTAGCATCAATAATAATTATTGGTATAAAGTCATCGTCATAGTTCTTCACAAATATGTTGTTTATCCTTAAAAACAACCCTGCAGATATTGGTATTATCATCTCCATATTACAGACAAAGGACAAGGCTGAAGGGCCATCCCTTTCTTAAATAACAATAACTGTGTGCCATCAATTCTGACTTACAGCGACCTTTTTCAGGGTGTCCAAGGTATAGAGTACTTACAAGTGCTTTCCCACCCCTTCTTCTGGGGACACATCTTGGGACCTTGCAGCTTTCCCAAGGCCACACCGGCTGGCTCTTCTCTTGGGAGGTACAGCGGGGAATCAAACTCCCAGCCTCTGACTCCACAACCAGATTCCTATTACCCAGCCAGCAGTTTTATCTCTTACTTACAGGTACAAATTTATTAGTTCATAGCAGCAAAGTCATTCTGTGATATCACCAGCTTGTTCTGAGACGCTGGCAGCTTTGATGTGGGATGTCTACATGAGCTGATAGTGTCACATCCTGCATCCAGTCTGACAGGAACAGTCACCACTCATTACCAACATGGATTTTCTTCTCCAAGCCCTCTGCATTATGTGAGCCATCAGCCTAGCCCAATTTTCCATAGCCTAATTCAAACGGGGTTCCAACTTGCCTCTTGCCAATTTACAAGGTCCAGAGCCTAACATTCTTGCACGTTCTTCATCCTTCCCAGAAGGTATTGCAACAATCCCCATCTCTGCTTATTTGGTAAGGTCTTGGGTATCTGAAACCAAGTATGACTTCCAAGAGCAGATCTGACCCACTGTAGAAAGCATCCACTCTGAGACCTCTTGTCTTATCCCTGCATTCTGTGATGATCCTGTAAATACAGTTTTCTCCCTTCTTTCTGGATTTCCCATGCTGCCCAAGATCCTGCTCACTGAAACTTTCTCTGAAACATGCTTCTTGATAGATGTTGAGGAAGAATAGGCAAATTCTTTCTGTCTTCCTCCTCAGCTCTTGCAGCTTCCATCTCCTCCTTCTGCCACTCATACTAAACTCTCCCTCTCAGTTCAAGCATCACACAACAGCACTGTTTCTTTCACTCTTTTCTGTCCACTCTCTTTGGGACAGTTTTCAGTGACTGATAGGTTATCTATTCTCTATTTGCTTTATCCATCATCTTTCCTTTTCTAATAAAGCTCTAATCACAGCTTTGTTCTCCCTCTCGGGGCCCCATGGCAATGTCTCAGTATCCAGGTCAAAGCTCACGTTACCCACTTTGTGCTCCTTTTAAATGGTAAAATGTGCTAGCGCCAGGACCAGTGTTTGCTATGGGCTACAACAGGGCCTTACATCCATGTTATTACTAGGGCCTGGAAATGTTACTTTCTAAAAATAAATTCCCAGAATCTTCCAGCTAACATGACCATTATGCTCATCAGGGGATTCATAGAATCATAGAATCATTGTAGGGTTGGAAGGGACCTTTGAGGTCTTCCAGTCCAACCCCTTGCCCAAGGCAGGAGACCTCATACCATCCTGGACAGATGGCTGTCCAATCTTTTCTTGAAAACCTCCAGCAATGGGACATCCACAACATCGGGAGGCAAGATGTTCCACTGCTTAATGGTTCTCACTGTCAGGAAATTCCTCCTTATTTCCAGTTTGGATCTCCCTCTGATGAGTTTCTACCCATTGGGAATAAATACACCTTTTCCAAGCCCTGACTAGCACTCAATATGAGTTCCCAAATATCTGTTGTTCCTGAAATGGTTTACTCCCTAGATCAAGAAAGTAATGTCAGATGTCCATGGAGACATATGTTTTAAGCAAACATAGTAAAGGGGATTGCCTGGTCAACAGACCAATTTCATTCTTACTCAATTCTATTGAAATAAAAATTACTGAAATATTTAAAATATTTACTCAGAAGTTAATTCCATGAGATTTACTCCCAGATTGTATCAAAGATATAAGTGGATTTTGAATTCCCCTCCCCCTTTCACAAAGTCCAAAAATAACTCATTAAAGTTGCTCCACAGTGACAAATACATAAAGACTTCGGTCAGATTTGTGCACCAAATGCTGAGAGGAGTCTCTCATCTGCAAGTGAAATAACAAATTCCAAGCAAAATGACTGATGGAATATTGTTGTTCACACACTAAAGCCATTTTTGTACCAGAGCTTTAAAAAAATATTACTTGTAAAAGGCAGTCAGCTTAAAAGTTTCAATTCTTTATTATACAATAATGCAATCCAATTAAGAGGAATGATGTAACCTTCCTAACTGCCTACAGTGCCTATGAAAAAAGATCTGAAATGTATTTATTCTGGATGAATGGCAAGCTATGGGGAAATGTTGGTGTTATCTAGAGATGGGCATTAATCAGAAAAATGGTGATTCGTTTTGGTTCATGATTCATCTAGGCTGATAAATCACTAGTTACAAATGTATAATTTTTTTCTGACGAATTAATGAATCAATTCATCAATTCATTATTTTACTTTAAAACCCTATAAAACAGCCACCAAGTACCTAGAGACACCAAAATCACAGAGAGCTTCCCCTGACTCTCCTCTAGAAGCCCTGCAAGTTTGGTGAAGTTTGGATTTTGCATATCTGTGTTAAACACCCACAAGTAGCCCCCCGCAGGAAAGATTGCCCCCTCCCAGGTACCTATCATAGAGGAGCTTCATCTCACTCTCCTCTACAATCCCTCCAAGTTTGGTGACGATTGGGCTTCAGACATCCAAGTTATACACACATGAAATGGGCCCCCCAGGAAAGTGCCCTTTACCGGCTTGGAGGAAACCCAGTCTTCACCAAACCAGGCAATATCAAAATATTCCCTAATAATAGCAGCACTAATTATTTTTATAATGATACATGACTCTAGTCTTTCACTGTATTTCTGCTAAGTGGCTTTCACTGGAACTTCTACATTTTGTATTTACAGCATCTGTTGTGTCTTTACAATACACCTCTAGCAAATCCAAAAGAGGTAGATCTCTCATTATGAAAGCCCACAGGAGCTCATCACTTGACGACTACCACTTAAGTCAGACTTGTAAACTAATTTAATCACTGTAATTATCTACTGATTATTCTAGGTGGCTGACCTCATCTGCCTGATCCAAAAACTGATTACCATTCCTGAGATTAGAGAGTCAACCGTAGTCCACCTCAGCCCTCTTCATCCCTCTCACCCAACCTCAGAGGGTCTAGACTGCTCATGAAAACAAGCCTACATTCTGGGGAAAGCCAAGGTTTTAGAGTAAGAGGCCAGAGACATTCCTCTAATTCCGTAAGTCCTTACTGAACTGACCTGGTATTAGGTGCCAAGCCTCTTGGTGCCATTGAACAAAGGCAAGGGATTGCCATTATGCTTACGTTCAGGAAGTGACCGTGGATCTTGTGCCAATCCTCCCTGCTGTCTAAATATAACAACACACTGCATTACGTCAAGCAGCCTTAATTCTTTTCTGTAAGTGATTAAACTTGAAAACTTACCCAGTTTTAGTCCCTCTCTCTTCTTTCTAAAAATAAATGCATCAGAAAAAAAAAAAGAATTAACAAGCACTGAATGATGTACGCTAATAAGCAAATGTTAAAAAGGGAGCATGTGAAATGGAATTAAACACCCAGATTCAGGAGAGAACAATCTAATATATCTTTAAAAGACAAGTTTCAGTTCTAATCTTAAAGACATTATTGATACTAAGTCCAACTGAAGTTGAAAGGGATTTCTTTGGATTCATGGCTTTAGCTGAAGTGTATTAACGAAAACAAAGCACAATCTGAAAGAACAAAAATGACAGACTATTTAGTTTATTAAAAGTTAGTAAGTCGCTCAAAGAAAAGATACTCATTTATTTGCTGTTCACTACAATGGTTCCAGTCAAACCATTTTGGAAAATTTTGTTGAAATTGGTGATGCTTAAACTCATCACAACTATCTCTGGGTTGAACTGGGACTGTTACTGGATAGCTTGAATACACAGCCTCACGACTGTCTGATTGTTACATACCTATCGTTCTCCTGGGCATCTTGCTCCAAGGGCTTTATAGGTAGGAATGACAATTCACAATCTTCTGGCCTAGGGACAGAAACAGCGTACTCTTAGCTCAAAAATATATATTTTTAGAGATGGATCTTTCATGTTTAACTAAAACACACAAAGCATGAAAGAGGTTCTCATGTTCTTTCAGTGACTGCTGAAAGAGAGCCTCAAAAACGTGAATGATTTGTATTTACAAAACAGAGATACACCAAAGCTTCATGTTTCTTTAGCACTCCTTCCTTCATGAAGCCTTTTGACGCTCTTTCACCCTTGGTCTGTCAAATTGCATCAGAAATATTTCATCCAAGAGAATCACAAGAATTGCTAGCAGCTAGTCCAGGAGTCTCCAAACTTTTCAGCATCAGGGCCACACCATCTATTTTACACATTTTTGAGGGCCAATGGTACACACGCACATGCACACATGCACGGACTAGAGGGGACGGACCTGAGCCTGCAGCATTCACGGGGCCAGATAAAAAGACAAGGTGGGCCTAATTTGGCCCATGGGCCATAGTTTAGAGACCCCTGAGCTATTCAATCAGAACAACAGCAGGAATTTTGGATTAATAAGGACCTGGAATCCAGTAAGGGTTCCTTCCTTGTGTAATTACTGTGTGCTGAGATCCTGGTTCCCACCATCTTGGATGGCTGCCTCCCTGCTGATCCTTTATGTTGGATCCTTTCCTTTTCCTTTTNTTTTTTTTTTTTTTTTTTCTTTTTTTTTTTTTTTTTTTTTTTTGGCCTTTCCATGATTTTGAGAGAGGGGAAATTTCTTCCCAATTTCTTTTTTTTTAAATTTTATTTTAATTAAAAAGTACAAAAAATAATAATAAAAAAACAAAAAATACAAAATATCTACTGCTACAAAAAAACAAACTGTAAATTACGAGAGTATAAATTACAAAACATAACAGTGAACCCAGCACCCTCAGGACTAGCATTACACTCATGATTTTGAGAGAGGGGAAATTTCTTCCCAATTTCTTTTTTTTTAAATTTTATTTTAATTAAAAAGTACAAAAAATAATAATAAAAAAACAAAAAATACAAAATATCTACTGCTACAAAAAAACAAACTGTAAATTACGAGAGTATAAATTACAAAACATAACAGTGAACCCAGCACCCTCAGGACTAGCATTACACTTCTTTCCATCCATTTTCATTCCAAAATTTCAATGTTTCTTCACTCGGTGTATACCCCCTCCCTCTCTGAAATACATGTTCTAAAAATACGTTCCATATTTTTTTTAAGTCATTATTTTTCATTTGGCCCCTGCTTATTTTCATATCGCATGTCAGTTTATCATTAATAGCCATATCCCACAATTCTCTATACCATTCCATTTCTTCCCAATTTCTTTGGATTATTTGGTGCTGCCAGGCAGTCCATTTGTGTCAGCCTGCCTCCTTGGGATTATTGTTGGGGGGCAATTTCTTTGGGGATTTTTCCCTCTTTGTTTTTTTTCTTATGTTGTATTTTTTGTGTGTGTTTTTTTCCTTTGATTGTTTTTGTTCCTGTATTTTCTTGTATTATTTCTGCAGCTGTCTGGTCTGCTTGCTGCTGATTACTGTACTTTTAAAAAGGGAAGAGAAGACTTCAAGCATTGAAAGGGATGGAATGGCTGATAAAAACTACTGCCTGCATAGGTCTGCTGGTGGATTTTCTATCTCATATACTGTTGCCTGCTTTTGAATGAGACTGATTCTCTCTTGCCTGGCCTCTGCTTTTCTGGAGTAGTTTTTCAGGTTAGTTTAGAGCTTCTTGAGTGTCAAAAAACACAGAGAAACATGATTTAGAAACAGCATTTAAAAATAAACATTAAAAATTCATACTTCAGATTTGCTAGTGTTTTGACTACAGCAAAGTCTTTTCGCTGATTCGGTGGCAGCCAACGGTGCTTCTCAGCGAAAGCTAATGTTCTTGATCCAAAGCCAAACACAGAAGAGAATCCAAAACGAAGTACTTTGCTTGGAGTACGGAAAGTGCACATGTCCACTGACTGAAGATGCCCTGATGTGCAAGATTAATGCAAACATAGGTTTGTATTTATTACTTCTTCTTTTTTGCTCCTCATCATATGGCTCAAGTTGGTTTACAATCAATTTACACTATGAGGCATTTCAGTATCAACACATTGAGACTAAAATCGTTACAATCATTTCTCCTTCCTAGTGTCAAAAAGGAGAGAATGAGTAGACACAAGAAACATGGGAATAAAGAAACATGGGAAGCTGCCTTACACTGAGGACGATTACTGGTCCATATCTCCCAGTACTCTCAATTCTGACTGGCAGAGGCTGTCCAACATTTCAGGCAGGGGTCTTCCCTAACCCTGCCTGGAGGTGCCAGGGATTGAACCCAGCACCTTCTGCTTGCAAAGCATGTCATCTACTCTTGAACTGCAATCCCTCCTAGTTACTTGTGATGGTGTATGCACAGTGCACATGTGCATCATATTCTGGATCGCATGGGCTCACTTTAGGTTAAAGGAGAGTCAGAAAAAAATGTTGAATGGGGACATAATAGAGGCATTTTACCTTTCTTATAAAACTGGAAAGACTGTGAAACTAGTCTGAACCATATCATCATCACAGGGATCTGAAAAATGCAACCCTATCCATTTTGTTAAAGCAAACTACAAAAAAGTAAATGTGGTCATTTTTGCCTGTGTATACTGGTTCTCCAAACTGATGTGGCATATTTAATAAAGTTCAGTTTCTTTTCTACCCCTTTTAGATATGGAATTACTTACCCAGGATTATGTGTAATATTGCTGTCAGTGTGTGCTGAATTCCATTCAGAGTGTGTGCCAAAGCATTTGTAGAACCTGCAAATGTTAAACAGCATGCATAAAATATTTAAGATTACTGTACATCATACTAAAGGTTCTTTAGATTATATTGATAGGGATGGGTTTTTTCATTTAGACATCATTCCATCCCACATTAGAGTCATTATAATGTCTTTCCTAACTGATGTTAGTTATATTCGACTCAGCCTGGTCCTGTAATACTTTATTTTAGGGTTATTCCATTTTATTTTAGGGATATCAAAACCTATTGTTTTGTATACAATATTGTAATGAGTGAAGGGCAGCTGATTTTCATTGCGGGAGCTTTGTGATGTCGTGGTTAAACTGCAGTATTGCAGTGAAGACTCTTTTCATGACCTGAGTTTGATCCCAATGGACTCAGGTGGTCGGTTCAAGGCTGATTCAGCCTTCCATCCTTTTGAAGTTGGTAGCTTGCATAATGTGTAGCCTGCATCATTAAATTATAAACCACCAGAGATTGCTTTAAGTGCTATGGGGCAGTCCTGAAGCAGCACACTTTGCTTTCCTTTACTCTGCCCTCCAGTTGTTAACTCAACGTCTTGCAGGGGGGTTTTATTTTCCTCGTTATGTAGGATTTTTGCCTTTCAATCTTTTCCCTATAGCCTTGGACAAGAGTGAGTTCTTATAGCTAAATGGCCATCATTCAGGTCTTAAAAATGCTTCCTTAGTGTTTGTAAATTCCATGAGATTTACATCCCAGTATGCAGAACTGCAGAATAATTGCACCTGAAAGAGCCAGTTGTGTTCCTTGAGTCTGGAAGGTAAGCTCCAAGAACATAAAACTTTGAAATCTAACTAACCAGCTTTTATGTTCAAGATTTTTAAAAAATACTAAACAAATATTTTATATCACACACTTTCCCATCTCAAAGCAAAAGCCATGAGCAACATATTATCTGGCTTATTTTTACCGTGATGTTATTCTTTTGAGGTTTAACATTTCTTTGTCACTAACAATAATACAAATTTACAAATAAGTAACCATGATTATTCTTAGAAGATCACAGATTTCACATTTTCTCTGTGACAGCGCATTGCAGGATTAATTTAAGTCTGCTTATTAATGTCAGTTTCAAGATTGTTTATGTTGTAGCGTTCTCCAAATATATATGCTCACAACCAACTCAATCTATAAATTACAACTTCTGAAAAGCTACGGTTCCTGTTAACATCAACAACAAAGTAACCCTTCTTCCAGAGGGTTCTAAAGAGGTGAAAAGTATCAGCCGTTCCTGTAAAGCATGAATGATGTACGTAGGTACCAGAAAGAAATTGTGTGGGATAAATGTCCTTGGAAGTGCAAGCACTCCTGCAGAACAATTAACTTAATTAACCAGACTACATGAATATTCATAAGTCTGTTAATGTCTCCCACATCCAAACAGATAAATGTGATGTAATGACTTCCTACTCAAGCATATCTAAGAGTCTCATGAAAATTGCACCAATGAGATGGTTCTATGCCCAAACTATCACAGAACCAAGAAATCTCAGGAATTTTTTTTAATTCAACACAAATTAATTGGAGGCAGAAAACAATGTAAGGGGATGATTTAGGACTGTTGAATTTACACTCGTTATATAACCTTCCTTTGTTCTACAGCAATTAAACTGCTTTCTCCCACCCTTCCATTTTTTCTCTTCTTTATCCAAATCCCTCTGCACAGTTCCTCAGCTGTGGTTCCCATAGCAACGAACGGTGTCCCTATATGGCCAGCAGTACTGCCACAGGTTTCTTCTACTGGACCGGTTTTATTAGATTACATTAAAAAGCTCAATGCTCTGGCCGGGCAAAATCTTCCTTCCTGTAAATCTCAAACTCTGTCAACCGATGGCTATCCACACACTCCCTCACTCACACTAGAAAATTATCATTTAGCACATACTATGAAATGAGGAGAATGGGGGTGCATGGGGGAGGAGTCTTTAGACAACTAAATGCAGACTTGGAAAACACACTTCCCTGCAAAAATGTCCAAATATAAAAGCCACTTTTGTGGGGATGGTGGCCACGTTTTCAGGTAGAAATGGCGAAAAAAAGGAGAGGAAGGCAAAACAGAACATGACTAGAAGTGTTTGGGGGCACCACATCTTCTGGGAGTGGGACGTTCTGGCCACCAATGCAAAAGCCACTGTTTGGGGCTCCCTCCAGAGCCTAAAAAATTCTCCAAAAACACATTCCTTTGATCTCTGGAGTGCAATTCACCCACATCTGTTCTAATTGCATACTTTTTAACTACACAAAACAAATAATTTTCCTCAAATTTGAACAACAAAATTTAAGAGTTAATTCACACATTTGTCAGATACTAATTTAAAGTTATCAACTTGAAGTCTTGTACGCACTCACTTGTGACATACAAGTTATTCTCAGGAGTAAAAAAACTAAGCCCTTCTACTCTATGCAGAATAAGATGCTGGAAGAATTCAATCTCATATCACCTAAACAACTTTCAGAACAATTATAAGGACAAATGCAGTTCAGAGTATTCACGCTATTATTCAAAAATATCAGGCACAGTCAATCAACATCATAAAAACACTGACTAGTATTATATAACAGATACAACTTTTAACCAGAAACCTAAGTATCGGTTAAATATCAGCACCGTATATGCTGTTCCTAATATTGCCATTTTTTGTAGCTCTGACGGTGTGATTTCTGAGATCTGCAACTGCTTATAGTACTGGGTGAAATTTCTTGACACTGTTCCCAAAGCCCAATGACTATGGGGGCCACTGCAGTGTGTTTCATCCACAAGTGAAATGTTTCAATTGCCAGATCTTTGTATTTTGTTAATTTTTCCAATTCTTTATTTTCAACTCTGGCATCCACTAGAATTGAAATGTCAATTATCCAGACATTTCTTCATTCTGTTACTATGTCTGGTATGCTGTGTTCAAGGTGTCTATCAGTTTGAATCTGGAAATTTCACAAGATATTGAGTTACTCATTTTCTGACACCTTCTCTACCTGATGTTCCCATAGTTTTTTTTTTTTTTGAGGTTGGTGAGTTGTTGTTTGCATAATGACCAGTGCATTATTTTTGCCACTCTTTCATGTCTAATTTTGTATTTCTTTGTGCAATTTTTCGGCATTTGCAGATGAAGTGTGACAGTTTCATCTTTTTCTTGGCAAAGTTGACATTTGCTGTTAGCCCCAGTTCCTTGAATTTTAGCTGTCATCACATTGGTTTCGAATGCTTGTTCTTGTGTAGCAAAAATCAAGTCTTCAGTTTCTTTCTTAATGGTTCCCAGTTTTAGCCATGCCCATGTTGAATTATGATCATACTTTCCATCAATATTTCTCAGGTGTTGTCCATGTAGTGATTTATTTTTCCAGCTGTTTAATTTATTTCAAATTAATGACTGTGAAAAATCTTAAAATCAAAATTAAATGGTGGAAATACAATCAAAGCCATAAAGACATGGGCAGTCCCAGTAATTAAATATCCAGCTGGAATAATTGGACCCAAAACGAATGAGAAGAATTGGATCAAAAAACACAGAAACTAACGGACATGCATCATGCACTATATCCAAAAAGTGATGTGGACAGATTATATTTACCACGAAAAATTGTAGGCCATGGATTACAGCAAACACAGCAGGTAGTACAGGAGGAAAAAAGAAGTCTAAATGATTATATTAGTAAAAGTAGAGAAAACAAGTAGAAAAACAGAGTGAAAACAGAGAATATTTTGAAAACAAAAACAAAGGCTCAGTGTAAGAAACAACTGCTGCTACTACTGCTATGTTGCTGTATGCTACTTGATAACTCATTATCTGCTTCACCTAATTCATATATTGTGTTTATTAGACCATTTTCAACATATTAATTTTAAATTTTTAAACTTTTATTCTTTAAAATGTTTTCAAGTGAAATAGTGAAAGCAAGATAATATTCTGTATTTATTTCAATCTTTTCTTAAGGAGGCAAATGTAAACAATAGTTCTGAGAAAAAAATTAAACTATATGGCCAATTGCCATCTTAGGCAGCTGCTCTAAATCATTTGTATCAATTGTGTATGATCAGAAAGATCGACCAGGATCCAGTGGCTGATCACAGATCCTAGTCAGGGCTGCCTTTTCTTTTAAGTCTATTTCCCCACTGTAGCTCAGCATGCTAGTTTAAGTCTATTACCATTCAAGTCATTGCACATGGGATAAGAAAGAAGTGGTATATCACACCTTCAATGTGTGTGTCAAGTCAGAACTGATTTCTAGCAATGCTAATAGGGCTTTTGATGTAGGTGAGATATTTAAGGAATGGTTTAATCAGCTCCCCCCTCCTCCCCATGGGTTTCCATAGCCAAAAGGGCATTCAGATTCGTGTCTCCTGCATCCTCATCTGTCACTCTGTTCCCTGCACCACATTCCTAGAAATGAGTTAAAGCTTGTTTTTTGAGGAGTCATATCCAAGCCTGAGCGGGATCCATTGCTGGACTTCTCCTAGTGGAACAGCAAAAACCCAAGGAGGTGGAGTGATCTTCCCTTGGCACTGCAGCCCCCCTGTGCATGGAATAACCTTTTTCGCAGGATACCCTCCAAAGTGTAAGAAGTTTAGAAAGAGAAGAGGAGGAAGGGAAGGAAGTTGTGCTGAACTGATGAAACAGGGAAATGTTGGATTTAGGCCTCTGTGTGGGGAAAGTCAGCCAAAGAGTTTCCAGTGTCCCAGAAAAGCTTACTGAGATTTTTTTAAAAAATAAATATAATATGATTACAAATTTTAAAGTAATACTGCACCAATAAAATATGGAAGCAATTCTATCCACAATGCCACTATTTACCCTATCCTGCACGCTTACTACGATCTCACCTGCTGGTATTATTCCAAGAGGGACCTTTGCTCTGACTGGTGGACGTTGATTGTCCATGTCCACTCCGGCATCCATCTGGGCTCTGAGTAAAAGACCATGAGCCACCTCACTAGCAGTCCCATCTCCACCAACAGAAACCACCCTAAAGCAGAACCAGTTGCAAGATTCTTCATCATGACAGAAACAAATTATTGCAGTACATTTATGTGATCAGGGTGAAAGTGTTTACCTTTATAATCCTTCTGACACAACTTAGTGAGCTAACATACTCCAGGAAAATCGTCTATATTGTTTAATTTATTTAACCTTTAGAATATATTCATTTCACAGTTGTTGTTTTTTCTGATTCTGTACCGCCTGATAAGAATGGACATCCTGATGTGCTTAAGAGCACCAAGCACACAGATTTTTCTTTCAAGATTTAAATGCAGGAAATGTTCATCTTTCAGTTTTTAACAGTTACTTTTAGCTAGATTCAATAAACAATTAATGGCCAGAATTGTACTGATGATTTGCTCACGATTAAGTTAATCTGTGTAACTCACTGCAGTGAATTGATGCTAGTTTAATATGGCACCTGTCACATTACTAGGTGAGTACCTTATAATACAACCAATACCTCATTAGTGACAATTTATTGTTGTGAGTTATGGAATTTACACACAAGCATATACAACCCACAGGATTCTGACCACTAACACTTACCATTATTACATTTTAAATAACAAGAGATTTTTTTAAGGCTTGTTATTGTTTAGTTGTTAAGTTGTGTCCGACTCTTCGTGACCCCACAGTTATAAACAACCGAGCACAACCATCCATTTTTAAAAACCCCACTCAGGCTGCCAGTCCCTAAGGGAAGGTTTGCCTGAAGAGAAAGGTCTTTGCCTGTTTGAGAAAGGATAGCAAAGATGAGTCCGGTCTGAGGGAGTTCCAAAGTCTGGGAGCAGCAACAGAGAAGGCCCTCTCCCATGTCTTCATCAGATGCACCTGTGAAAGTGATGGGGCCAAGAGAAAGGCTGCTCCTGATGATCTTAAAGCCCCAGGGCAGACTCATATAGAGGGAGATGATTGATTATTAACTCAACTGTGGAGAAGAATGAAGGTATGACTGCATACAGAATGTCTGTAAATTCATTTTCACCACAATCATTTTTTTACTGTTGATATTTTGATTGCCATGCTGAAAGTCATTGACTGGGTTATCTCGTCTGTTTGCTTCAGTTACATATCCACATTTTTACTGTAAATTACAATTACACAGGTAAATTGCCATTAGTTAAGAAGTCTGTTTGTATTCCTTATTACACAACAATCACATGACATAGCACATGATCAGTTTTTTAATTAATAGCAATTCAACACCTGTCATTTATACTTTTTTGATTTTGCCAACAAATGAAAGTAATAGATTTCTAGTCAACATGATTTATTTAGCGTTAACTTTCAAGCTGCATAATCCCAGTGTGTTATCAGAAGAAGGGACTGCTAAACTACTTCTGAGTTCTATTATTCCCAGAAAACTCAATGAGAGCTACATAATTAGAAATGACTGGATGATGCATAAATATTAATTCATATATTGAAGCCCGTTTCTTCAAGTGTATCAAGGAGTGGGGTATCATCCCCAAAAGCTTATACCAAATTAAAATTTGTTAGCTTTAACATTGCGGAAGCAATGAACACATTAGAATATGCCCCTCCCCACCATATAAGTACCTTGGCGCCAAGCATCCCCTTTCAGTTGTGTCAACCACCGCTTAATAGTAAGCAAACAATGGCATGACAGAGGGGAGGACAGTCAGGATGTATGAATCACAGAGGTCCACTCAAAGAACTACAATTACAGGTGGGTAACCTGTTGTTCTTCTTCATGGCCTCTGAATCACACCCTGGGTGACTAATAAGCTGTCTTACCTGGAGGCAGGGTGTCACACCAAGGTAGGGGCTAGAACAGTACGTCCAAATGCCACATCAGACTTCTGCCGGAGGTTGAGTCTATAATGATGGATAAACATGGACAGCTGTGCCCAAGTGGCAGAGGTGCAGATGTCCAGAAGAGGTACGTTGCAGAGAAAGGCTATAGAGGCTGCCACTGCCCTGGTGGAGTGAGGGCAAACCACTGTAGGGGCTGGTTGTTGAGCAAGTTGATAAGCCAAATGAATGGTCTCATCGAGCTTTGCAACAGGAGTGTGCTACAAGGAGCCAGTCGTCGATATATGGAAAGATGAGAATGTTTTGAAGTCTGAGGTAGGCTGCTACAGGCGCCATGCACTTGGCGAATACTCTCGGAGCTGTTGCAAAGCCAAATGGGAGTCTTTTGAATTGGTATTTTTGTGATCCAAGTTGGAAACAGAGGAATTTTCTGTGTGCAATATGAAAGTAAGCATCTCTTAGGTCTATGATGGTGAACCAGTCATTTTTTCAAAGTAAGGGAAGAACTGATTCTAGCGTATCCAGGCAGAATTTTGTGGTGACAATGTAGTTGTTTAATAATCTTAAATCTAGAATAGGGTGAAGTCCCTCATCTTTATTGCAGACAGTGAAATAGTGATAGAAAAACACGGTGTTGTTTTGATAGATGGGTTGTATGGCATCTTTGAGACGTAAATTCATTATTTCTTCTTGCAGGAGTTGTGATGGTGCAGTAACGATGTGTGTTGTCAGTGGAAGTCAAAGAAGTGGATGCAGTAGCCATTTTTGATAATGGAGAGTACCCAGGAATCTGTGGTGATGGATTCCCATGCAGGTAAGTGTTTCCAGAGGGCAGGGTTTGTAGGGTGGGTGGCGATCTTGGTCAGAGGAACGTCAAACATGGTGTTTGGGTTTCCGGGCATTCCGCCTAATGGCAAGCTGTTGTCGAGTTTTGGCTCTTTGGTTTCTGAAGTATGGATTGTAAGAGATTTGTCATGGGGGAGCCTCATTGGAACCTCTGGTACGAACTATAGAGTCATTTCCATTGATTTTGCTGAGAATGTTGCTAGTAGGAAGGGCAAACTCCCCAATGTCTGGCTGCTGAACATTTCTTTTGTACATTCTCTAGTATATCGTCAGTTTCAGCAGGAAAAAGAAGGGGAGTTCTTCGATACGTGCCTGAGCACCTTTGGCTAAGCCGGCTGTTCTGAGCCAGGAAAAATGGCGTAGGGCTACTGAAGTGGCCATGGACTTGGCTGTAGCATCTAAGGTGTGGTGGACAGAAAGCATCTGTTGTTTAGCAATGGAGAGACCTTCGTGTTGAAAAGTTGGAGCTAGTATCTTTCTTTCCCCTGGCAGGGATTCAATAAAGGTGGACACGTTGTCCCAGAGGAAGCATTGGTAAGCTCTCATGGCTCCTTAATAATTAGCGACTTGCATGGTGAAGGCTGCGGAAGAGTAAAGCCCTCTACTCATGAGAGTCTTTTCGTCGGCTGTCTCGATACCGAGAGATTGTTGGTATCGAGAACTCGATTGAGAGGCTTTGACAAATATAGAACTTGGAGCTGGTTGTTGTTGTTGTTGTTGTTGTTGTTGTTTTGGAGGAAAATGGCTCCTGGATCATGGTTTAGATATGGTATAAGACAAAGGTGGTTTTGTCCGGGATCATTGTGCAGTACTAAGGAGAGATGGTAACATCGATTATGTGCACCAGAGTGGTTGTATTTTTAGAGATCAGATCCTATAGATGATCAGCTGGTTCTGTCGATGGTCGGTGGACTTGCAGATGAAGGGATATAGCCATGCAGATCGTAAGTTGGGCATAGGTCTGGAAATCCTCCGCCGGTGACGGCAGATCAGTATCAACAATGTCTGACTCTGGAGAGGTGAGTAACACCGATGGAGTCTGCGGCCAAGGTCCACGGTCAAAGCCATCGAGGTCACATCTGGAATCAATGGACTGTCGAATGACTTCAGTGTCAAGAGGCTCAGTTTTCTAGTATTGCCGGTTATTAGTCGGAAAAGATGGAAACGACATGTCCATGGACATCTGTCGATGTTGATGATCGTTGACATCGAAATATGGTGGTTGATCATCGACAGACCTCAATTGGTAGGGATGGACCTTGGTCTTGAGGTTGGTGTCGTAACGGTGCTGGGGTCAATGACTTGGATTTACCGGAGGCCAGGAACTGTGTTGATATAATGGAATGGAGTGAGTGTCCATGGACCAGGATGACTATTGAGGATCGTCGATATCAGAACCTGTGTCTCTGTGATATTGAAACGGAGGTTGCTGATGCAATGGCATGGCAGTAGAATAAATTGATGCTGGTGATGCCAAGCATGAAGAGTGATTTCCTTCATCTATTGTAGTAGGAAAGTATTGGGAGGCTGGGGCTGCAAAAGCCTCATGTGTGGATGAAATCTGCTTGACTGTCCGAGGTTTTTTCAATACCAAATGGGAAGCAGGTAGAGGTATAGTCACCTCTCAGTGATGTGGCCGCTTCAACACTGATGGTTGTCGAGAGGTAGACCAACTATTAGAAGTATTATCGAATCGGGTAAAACACCTGGTCGACTAGTTGGTGCAATTTGTCGAGCAGAGCACTGGTCGGGGTAAATGTCAACCCGATGCATGTACTGCGTGTGGGTTTGAACCACACACAATGAAGCGAGCTGTCGAGATTGTTGATGTTGATGGTCCTGGTTAGGGATTGGTGGGTGATCCAAAGGCATTGAATATGGAATGATGTTGAGCTGTTCAGGATGGGGATCCTCGGGTGATGGAATAACCGAAGGATTGTTGGAAGGAATGGAAGGTCGTGGACTGGGAGGAGAGGACGTTAGTTGGTTGACTCTATCATCTCATTCTGGAAACTGAGAATAGGGTTGATGAGACAGAAGTCTGTCATCATCTGAGGGAGATCTGCCCGAAATTGATTCAGAGAGTTGTTGTGGTTGTGGTAGGATGTCTGTAGGCTTAGACTGTTTAGCTCATTTAGGAGGAACAGGCTCCAGAGTTGGAGCAGCTTCAGTCAGTCTCTGACATTTAGAGGTTGTTTTCAAAGTCGAGGACTTTGGTATGGAGGGTTTCAATTTGTGTGTCTTCGAGTCTTAGATGATGCAAATGGAGAATCAGAATGAGCTGGTGTAGCCGATGGATGCTGTTTCGATGATTCAGTTATGGCTTTTTCCATTGCTTTGGTTTGGGAAGTGGCCCTACAGGGAGGTTGGGCCATTTGAACTGGTTATAAGGATTGTTCTCAAAGTCAGAGTTTTAGCCTCGAGAGGCGAGATCGTAGAACTCTGTGCTTAAAATTTTTGCAATGGGTACAGGAGGAAGTACTTAGCGTGTCCGTCGGAAAGTGAGATCTTATTGTCACAGACAACACAGTGCTTAAACGGGCCGAAAGGGGCCATGAATAGGAGAAAATAAGAGAGGAGAAAAACAGATGATTGGGGGGGTGCTGCAGCTGGAGGCCAAGCGAGGGAAAAAGAAAAATCTCTGATGATAAAGAGATTGATCTAATAGTTTAGAAGAAAAAGATTGATAACAGAAGGAATCAAGAATAGGCTCTCTTTCTCCTTTGCTCACAGAAGCAGAATTTGAGGCTCTCAACGCGGCGGTTGAAAGAAACTGAAAGAGGACGCTTGGCGCCAAGGTACTTGTACAGGTGGGGAGGGACATATTCTAATGTGTTCCTTGCTACAGCGGAAGCTCTAGAATCGTCCGATGAGGCTCCGCACAGGCGCAAGTCACCCAGAGTGTAATTCGCAGAGGCCACGAAGAAGAACATATGTTACGATAATAAATTAATTCAAAAAAATTAAATTATTAATGCATGTAAGAAATATCATCAAGAAAAATGGAAGTTTTCTTAAGTACTTAAATTACCTCAGATGGTAGCTACACACTTGTGTCATGTATGGAAATGTAAAGTTAAATTCCTTGATCAGAACGACTTGCCAGTGTTCTCATGCACAGAACTCTCGTAAACATAGACAGATTTCACTGAGTGGGGAAACCCGTGATGGTAGGTTTAATTCTGTGTATAGACTGGAGCTGTTATATAAATAGCAGATTTTTTTTTGGCGGGGGGGGGAACTAGCAAGACCGACACAATGCAAGTGATAGAATTCTACAGGTTATTAAAAGGAACGTTGTTCCTGTTTCACTTATTATAATTTCTGAATTAATGACACCATTAGAAGAAGGGAAACAATTGAAAATGCTCTTCTTACCCATGAAATGATGTCAGGTCACATTCCTTAAGCAACGTAAGAGCATGTCCTTCATATTCAGTGACTACAAAAGATACATCACCCATTATAATACATAAATGATGAGACATTTTAAAAATAACATTCAATGTTTCTATTCAAAATGAAATAATAGGTGATATCTTTACAGACCACTAAAAATCACCATACAATATGCAAGCTTTCAGAGATAAAAACACCACTTCATTGGGCTTGTACCACTGTGAAGAAAGTAAAGACCAAAGGTTCATGACAAAATGGATTTCACCAGTAATGTTACGCTCAGATGTAAAGTCTGAAAGTTCTCGGCAAGGTGGATTTCACCAGGCACATCTTTCTCAGACAGCTCCTCAGTGGGCCCAGTCTCCCTCTTAGCCTTTGCCCTTGGAGAAACAAATTACTACACCAAACATGAAGTTCTCCTGACTTTCCAAAGCAGATGGCCATGCAATATGTGGTGCTGTTCTAAATCCTCTTTATATGCATACAGAATCAATCACATGGTTTCCCAGATTTCTTCCATATATTTTGGAATGTGAAAGAAAAGTGTGTTGTACCCCCAATGCTGTAAAGAGAGGATACCGTATTTTTCCATGTATAAGATGATACTTTTTCCTAAAATCTTTAGACTAAAAATTGAAGGTTGTCTTATACAGGGAAGTAAACTGAGGCAAGAACAAAATGGCACATACCTTGCCTCTGCAAACAGTCCGCCTCCAATCACAAGGCTTCCTACAGTCAGGAGACTTCACTTCCTCCAATCACGAGCCTTATGTAACTGACGTCAGCTGATGCTGTACAAACTAATTGGAAGACACCTCATTGGAGGCGGAACCTGTAGGCAGTGCTCAGATTCAATAAGGACTTGCAATGTCTGAGAGTTCTGAGCCCAGAGGCTGAATACTCAAAACTAAGTTTTCTTAATTTGGGGTTAGAGAAGGGTGGGGGTGTTTTATAAATGGGGGCGTCTTATAAACGGAAAAATACGGTACTTAACTACATAAATTATTTTACAAGACAGACAATGGATACATAAAACAATGGTAACTGACTTATAAGGTAGAGGAATAAACTAGTATCTTCGAAGGGTGGGGGTGTTTTATAAACGGGAACATCTTATAAAAGAAAAATACAGTACTTAACTAGATAAATTATTTTACAAGACAGACAGTGGATATATAAAACAATGGTAACTGACTTACAGTATAAGGTAGAGGAATAAACTAGTATCTTCTACTTCTGGGGTGGGCAGAAAAATGTAGACCAAGATCTACTGGTAGATCTCTGAGTGATCTGTAGTAGATCTGACTCTCAAATGCTTAACAACAACAATAAGAAAATTATTTTCCACATAAATACTTGCTGCTGAAACTCAGAAAGTCCAAGGTGACTCAAGTGGACTTCTGTATGGAATGACTGCGAGTGCTCTTCATGTCTAGAACCAAAACCAAAATGTAGTGTCTTTAAAGGTACCCTGTTCTTTCATTCTAATCATGTGCTCTTTGCTCTGGCTCTGTGTGAAGCTTGTGGTTCTACCAAAGAAGCCAGATAGGTGCAACAAACATGAGGTCCATCTACCCCCTCATTTATTAGAGGTTGTCATTTTATCACAGAGAAACGAATGATCTGAAATTGCACCATTAAATGCAAATTTCTAACTATCCATGGAAATGAGAAACACGGATACCAGTAACAAAGGAATACAACACAGGAGGGTGGTGGTACAAGTACACACCAGAATCTGTGGCCTCCGGAGGAAATGAATCTGTCATTCTACATCACTGTCTCTGTTTGTTGATACTCCTGTGCAAATGTGGCAAATGTCAGCAAAGAAAGAATGAGCTTGCATAGTGCAGATGGCATAAAGCATCGTAACCACATTCAGCATTTTCTAGGGCATTTTTGCCAGAAGAGACCGCCCAGCTGCATCCACTCATCAAAGGTTTCTGCTGACTGACATGACACTTCCAGATGGATTTTGTGTGTGTGTACGTGCATGTGTGTGTGTAAGAATGTGCATTATTGTATGCAAGATTACATTAATCTTTCATGCTTGTCTGTCTTTGGGGATAATGTGTTCGCTCTCTCCAGTGCTTTTAAACACTTCTAAATTCCTCAGGAAGCCATCTAAAAAGAATTTAACATGTCTGACGCTTCTGATGAGAAGCCTCACAGTTATCCATTGGGGTCCTTCTTTTTTACCCTGGGAAGCAAATTTCTCAAGGTGAGCAATCCAACTCTCTGTGAAGATGGATGCACAGCCATTCCTGCAGAGGGAACCCAGGACACACAGAACAGCAGAATAGTCCCATCACATCATTTGTTCCTCTTGGCCCTCAATCAGTAAAAGGCAGGATGGCAGAGTGCAGAGCGCACAACAGACCAGACCACAATATTTTAGTACTATCACAAATGTGTAAGTTAGCTTTCAGACACCCAAAGCTGCTTTGGGGGAGGTGGTGCATTGAGGAGTTTCTTATATTTTTATAGATCAAATCCCACCTTCAGCACTGCTCAAGGATTCCATACCCCTCTTATGATTAGAGACAGAACTTTGTACTGTTAGTTATTGATATATTAATTCCTGCACTGCTGTTTATTAATGTTAAAACAAAACAATCCGGTAATCATTCCTCCAGCTTCCCTGACCCCCTAAGCTGGTAAATATGGAAAATATTAAAGCCACCAGGACAGAAATGTGTTAAGATGTCGCACTAAACCACAGTTTCGCCTCAAACAACATGCATGACTGCCCCTCTCTGCTCCTTCAAGGCAAGACCAAGGAGGAGATCAAGAAAGAGTATTTGCAGAGATCTGCTGTTATGGCCATACTAATAAATGAAGTTTGACTGTGACTGTAAAACAGGTTTTGAAACTAGCTTTTGGGGGGGGGCATTTTTAAAATTAAGCACAGCTTCAACCAGTTCAAATAGTAAAAACAGTGGTTCCCAACCTTGGGCCCCTAGATATTCTTGGTTTACAACTCCCAGAAATCCTGACCGGTACAACTAGCAGTGAAGGCTTCTGGGAAGTGCAGTCCAAGAACATTTGGAGTCCCAAGGTTCGGAATCACTGATTAAAAAGAAAACACTTTTGGAGAGAATACAAACAAATGCTTCGGATCGTCTTGCCCCCTTATGGTGGCTGGGGCAGAGGGACAGGTTACAAACCAGAGATTAATGCACAGAGCACAAAGTCATAGTTTAAATGTTAGGATTAAACACAGTGAGCAAGAAAGGTCATATCATCCTGACCAAGATAGGTAAAGATTTATCTGATATGGCACAGCAAGGCCACGATAAGCAAATTCGTAAACTGCTAATTCACACAAGAATTCATATCACAGCATAGTTTATTTTTTTAATGTTTAAAATGAATGTTTAAAATGTTTCAAAAATATTCTTAATGAAGAATATTCACAGTCCTACCATTGAACTCAAATGTCTGGCAAGAGGTTTTGCTTACATAAGGACTAAAAGGTTTTAGCTTGTTTAATTTAGCAATTAAATCCTGCCTGTTCTGAAGAAAGACACCCAAGCGTTCTATCAGCGATGTTAGGCCTATAAAGGACAAATTAATGTATGTAAATGTAAATCAACACAAGAATTAAACATACCATTTTAACATCATCAGCTCATTTTTTTCCTCCCTTTCACAAATATTCAGATGAGGGGGAAATCACTATTTTGAAAGATCATGTGTTTAAAGAGCTACTGTTCTGCTGTGTTTTAGAACTGTTCTATATGCAGTCTTTGTGTACACTGTCTATGAATGTTCTTTTAATGTTAAGGATAAAATACTTATTTCAGAATAAGTGTGAGTGATCTATGTCAGGTGATTTGGTCATGTAGCAAAGAAAAACTTGCTTGGTTTAAAATAAAATACATTTGTTGCTTGTAATTTGCCAAAGTGACCTCTGGGTGGAGTGTCACCTAATAAACAAAACAGGCTGTGATACTGTGAAAGTCATAGACCTGTGCTATACAATAGGTGTTGAACCTTGCCCCATATTTGTTTTAATTAGAAGTTATATCAGCGATTGTTGCCATGAGCACCAGAAGAGCAGAATCTTATTTTCTGAAATTTCTTTCAAGTTATATACACTTATATTAAATGCACAGCACTTTTTTTAAAAAAAACCACGTACAGTACTTTGCAAAATAATTTAAATGTGATTCAGCTCATTAGTGAAAATCTATGTCATTTTTCCATATGTCCATCCATTTCTAAGGAAGTAAGAGTATTCATACATGCAAAGAAAACTAAGATCAGGATCCCCACCTACGTCGTCTTTTCTGGCTGCTACATAAGAATCTAGGGGGGGAATCCAAACAATGATTCTTCATCAATCAAGATTTAACTCGTGAAAACCCTTCTGGATTTTCTTTGCATGAGGGAGATTCCTTTGCTCACACAGACACAGCCAGTGCTAACACACAGCAAGCATGCTGCACTTTTAGTTTTAAAGCACCCGCTCATCTGTTTGGAAAGGTAAGGGTACCCCTAGCGCTCTCCCTCTGACATCTTTTTGGCCAATCTGTTCTATAAGCAGAAGGAACTAGAAGAGCATGGAATTCCATGAGGGTTACACCTCCGTCCTCTGCATATGTATGTACTCACAAGCAATTGAGTTTAATGTGACTGACTTCCAGACAAGTGTAACAGGGATGCTTATTGTAGCAATACTGAATCATGTCTTACACTACTGCCTATTTTTTTTATAGTTAGACATCCTTCAGTCTCAGGAGACTTATGGTAACATGCTCTGTATGGAGGATTTGGAACAGCGTCTAGTGTGGCTGAGAAGGCCAATTCGAGACTGACAGTCCCTTCCACCCTGTGGAATCTGTCCCCTGTTAGTGGTCGGGACTGCCCAGCTTCAGGCAGGCAGTAGCTACCTAGTGAGGTACAATGACCTCTCCTACCGTTGAAAGTAGCCCCTGGCGTCATGCTGTATGTCAGTCAAGCAAAGACTTATAACTGGTAACTGCTACTTCCTGTGTTGTTTCAATGCTGTACACCAAGCTGGAGTGTCCTCTCCAGGGCATGAGGCCTGGGTAAAATGATATGGAGGATAAGCAGCAAATCCCTCCTCTCCACATTGCTGAAATAGTCCAATGGAAGGGCAAGAGCCAATACAACTGGTTCCAGTGACATCGCAGGAGTTGGCAGAGTTACACGAACTGCCTCCGGGACTATGACTCTCAATTTTGCCTCGAGGTTAACTCCTGAAACCTTTTCCATCAGTGGATATAGCCACAAGGCAGTGGAGGTTTGAAGTCAGAGTTTTCCTTCTCCTAGATGGGCTGCCTTCCAAGGCTGATGAGCCCCACTTACTCAGCATTTTTTATATCTACAGCAATTAATTATCAGTTTGAGAGGGTTTAAAAAAAAACACAACCAAGAACATCCTAGGTATAACTTAAAAACCTTGCAGCACTACTCACTAATGAGAAAGGGAATACTTTAAATGTACTCATTTGTTAATTATGGTCTCACTAATATACTAACACAGAGAGACTGCTTCATTTCGCTGTCATGTCAGTCTCAAAAATGAATTAAACTGCACTGTGTAGACCATCTTACCTGTAACATCCGTTCTGATGTCAGCAAGCTTAAAGAGAGGTGCAACCTGTTCATAATAAATGTGAGTGGCCTCTTTTCTGTGACTAGTTGGGTTGACAAAAACTTTTAATGACTTTGGCCTATTTGGAAAACCTGGAAGGAAAAAAATGCACACATTATACATATTCAAAGGGATCTAACATGCAATTTTGAAAAAAAAAGGTAAGATGTTTAATTCTAATATATGCAGATAGATGTGCAATCTGAAAATCACAGCAGTTCCAGGTTGTCTAGAACAATAACTGTTTCCTCCACGAGGATCCTCATTACGGAGACCCACCACCTACGTAATCCTGAAACAACCACCAGAGCACTGACCTGCTTATGAGTCTACGGCTAAGAATAAACAGTACAAATGAGTCAGTCAGCGTCATCAAGAGCATTAGGTGACAGCTAGGAAGAAAGAGGTTTTAGGTCATAGTTCAGGCCTGAAAGAGGGGGAAGAGGTAAGTAAAGTGAGAGGAGAGTATTCTCCTGAGAATTTGGGAGGAAATGCCTCTCAGGAAAAAAAAACACTGATAATATTACTCCTTCACAGTTGGTGCAGAGATCTGATCCTACAATTTTCAGGATTTACAGATTATGTATCATGCCACACAGAAGGAGCAGGTGCAAAAGAAGTCTGCCCTTGATTAAAGGATCAAGAAACAGGGGTATGTGAGGGGAAAAACAAAAGCCCAGACCTTTATCATTTAGGTCATTTTAAACAAATTGTCAGTTGTTGTTCCATATTCATTTGTGGTGAAAAATAAATCACTGGCCCAGGAGACATTACCCATACCTAAATTTCAACTTCAGCTCAACTTCTTTTGTTTCTTGACTATAAATATCCCTTCCTGTCTGCCACCTCTCCTGACTTTGCCTTTTTCTCTTCCTTCTTCCACTTCTTCTCTCGGCACCCACCTTTGCCTTGCCTCCACCTAACGTATTTCTAAGTGTCTGGTAAGTTTTAGTAAGCTGTTTATGCACCACTCGAAGAACTCATTATCTGTGGACTTCTCTGTTCTTAATATTCTAACAAAGGCAGCAGCTGAAATCCAGTAGTAAGTCATCCCTAGAATAGGCCCTTTGAATCAGCGGGGGTTTTGGTGAGTCAACTGCTCCATATGTTCCACTGATATAATGCACCTACCCTTAGCTGTGATGAGCTACTGCTTTGCAAGTCTGCAAGAGGACCGTCACTACCCCAATGATGACTCCTCCCTACCTCTGTGCAAGAGCTCCCTACCGCCTCCCTGCACAGATCTCCCAACTGCCTCGCTCTGTGACTTTGTACCTGGCTAAGAATGACAGTCTGGTCTCCACTGATTTTTTTTAAACTTCACCTGTCCACCAAACCCAGCAGAATTTCTCCTTAGTTTACCACTTGCCTGTCTGCACCTCTCCATGCACGCTCCTGCCTGACAATAGTCTTCTGCCCCAGTCCCACCTATCAAGCCTTAGCAAGCTATGTAACCAAAGGATAGAAATCTAGGAGTCTTGGACCTCCTGATAGATCTCTGAATAATTTGCAAGAGATCAGCACAGATTTCTGATTCCCACTTATTGGACAGTAGTGACAAAATGACATGTCATGTAGTTGCTCTGAATTATAACACTGGAATGATGAAAGCAGGGATATGTACCCAGGAGGAGATTCTGATTGCAGAAGGACTGTGAACTCCGTTCTGTTTTGGTCCTCTTCTCAAAAACAAACTGCAAGGGTTAGAAGGCTTCTAGCTACACATCCCACATTCAAAGTTGTAGTTGGATGGATCTCATAGTTCCAGTAACAACCAAAATAGATCACGCAAGCCTAAAGTCTGTGCACCTTGAGGTAAACTAACAGACAGAGCTTTCCCAACAAGTGAAAAAACCTCATCTACTGTTTTAAAGCTTTCATCTGAGCCAGTGACTGTCTCCAAAAGTGGTCCCATTCCTGAACTCTGAAATCGGTGTTTCCAGACAGAAACAGACATGAGAGATAGCCTGCGGCTGAAAGAGGCACACTCTTTACTAATATGAGTGTCCGATGTCACAGCACGAGCTTCTCCCACCCCTGGGATTAGGCAGATTAGCTTATTTTGTTTTGTGACTGCTTTTCTGTATTTAAGCAAGGGACTCCTTTGAAGTCAGGTTTTATAAACCCAGAAAGACTAGCTTAGCCATCTCTCTGCAACACTGACATCCTTTCAGCATCAACTATGGGCTATCTTTAATGCCCATTTCTGGCCTCCAGTTCCAATATGCATCAGCAACCACCCACAAGGAAGCAAGGGTCTGCTTTTGTTACAAGGAGGGCAGCAGAACATGAGGGCAGGACAGTGCAAGCACACCGTTTGCTCTTGGACCAGTTTATTGGGCTGAGATTGCTACATATGACTTGGAATGAAGGCACCAAAATAGTCTGCAGAAACACACACGTGACTTGTAACTGGGCAGGGAGACAGTTAAGGATGAGGTGCCTCTCTCAATCCACAAGGCACTCAGGCAGAAAAACCAACAAATTCCCAAACCAGACCAAAGAGCTTAGAAAGCGTGCTCTTGTTTCTGAATCTGCTTAGATGTGATTTTATCTCCTATATTTGCCTCCCCCCCCCCACGCCCTTCAATAAAACCTATTTTAGCAGGCACTCCTGTTTAAAAGTTTTCTTTCTCATCAGCTATTATCTACAAACTGCAGACTTTGTCATATTCGAGAAATGAACGTTTCTACTGAATTGCTTGTTCTACTGCTCGCCGCCCGCCTGCCACCCGCCAAACTGAAATGGCTCTTTTAAAAACAGAAAAGCCAACTGTTCCTTCCGTGGTAACAAATGTGCTAATATGCACTAGTTTAAACTTGATCTATCAGTGAATCAGTGAACCATGAAAAGTAGAGGTTAATCAGGGTGTTCTGAAAACAAAAGCTCGCAGGGCAGCAGAGACGCTACCCTCAGACACACATCTGTGCTGTTTCCAGGGTTTAGTTTTATGGCAGCAGGCTCATGTTTACAAAAGTTAAGAGCCTGAAATGATGTCACTGTCATATACTTTATTAATATTTTATACAACAAGCAATGAGAAAACTGTAACACAGAGACAGAAGCAATGAGGTGAATAAATGTTTTTCATGCTAACTAGAACTATACCACTACTGTATTGATGTTACATTGTTAATGTATAACATTAAGGGGATAATTAAGCCGTCACGCATGAAGCTCTCGACATAAACATTCAAACTTGTTGCGGGAGGCATGTTGTAGAGAAGATTCAGTGAAACATTTCTTCTATAAATAACCGTACTCTCTTGCATTTTGAAAGCACAGCTATATATTTGCTGAAGTCAAACAAAACTTCAGATTTAGAAATTAACACACACACACACACACACACATTTGCATTTTGAAAGCACAGCTATATTTTTGTTCATTGCTGAAGTCAAACAAAACTTCAGATATAGAAATTAACACACACACACACACATCCCAAGAGGAGGTGAAATTCTGCCGCATAAAGAAATTCTGCAGTTTAAAATGATGATAAGGTTATGACACAGAAACGAAAGATACAGCTGTGCTGGGGAATACCTATTTGGGCGTTTGGATCTCTCCAACACTTTAGGCTTATCTTTGGATTATATACTCCAGTGGAACAGCTTCTCCTTTCTTAAGAAGTTTCAAATGCTAAAAGCAGGTTAACTAATGAGCATTACAAAGAATATTAAAAGATAAAACTGGAAATCAAACCCAATGTGACCTCTTTTGGCAATTCATGTTTGTCCTGCTGAAGAACAGGAGGAGGAGGAGGAGATTTTTACTGAATCTCTCTTCTTGGAACACAAATAAAATGACACTCACTGGAATCTTTTACTCTTTAAAGGAAGATGTTCCAGTAAGTGAAGGCTATGAAGACAACAAAAGAATAATTCATATCAAAACTTTCTAAACTTTTTTTAAAGGGCATTCTGCTTTCACAACTTTCACAAATGTTTTCTGAAACGCTCTTCAGCAGGATACTCATGTTTGCCCTTGATTTTAACTTTCCTATTTTCATTCACTTGTGTTTAATAAAAAATAATTTTGTAAGCATTCAAATAAATCTCAAGTCTTCTATTCGTGCAATGTGAGATACAGAATGTTGTCAAAGAATGAACTATCTGCAGTGTTGCCTTTTAATATTTATGCTCATCTGAACTATTGATAACCTAAGGTAGAAAAGATACAAAAAAAAACAATCTCCTCTATATCCTCTACTAAGGCAGTATTCTTTAGAAGCAAATGCTGCTGGAAGGGAGGGAGGAGCATTCCCCCACTCCAGCAATGGAGGCAGGGGGACATTGTATGATGTAACTGCATCACGACACATGCAACGCTGTGGGTGGGGAGAGAGGCCTTAAGTGGCGAGCCCTGCCACCTCACTGGTCTCTTCCTTGTGGATATCAGTCACCCTACAGGCTAGGGTGAGGTTTCAGGTCACTTCTGGGCCCAGACAGGAATTTTGAGCTTGGGTTCCCTGATGGACATGTTGAACATAAGGGGCCACAGTGGTAGAATAAGGACCAACTTTGCCTTGGACACAGGTCAATTAAATTAAATTAAACTAAATTATTCACCACTTGTCCTTTATAGCCACCAGAATGTGCTCTAGTATAGTACATGGCTACCTCAGTACATCTTACATAGGAGCAAGAACAATAAAATAAACCCTCGTTTAGCTAAATAAACCACAGATGCATTTATGTTTGACCCAAAACTTAGCCTAGTTCAAAATGTGCTAATCCTGACACACAGAATAAGATTGAAATCCAGAGCATATTTATCTAGACATTAAGACCTATTGGAGTCAATTAAAATTATTTTTCAATTAATGGTTATTTATTTATTTATTTTATTTATATCCCGCCTATCTGGTCAACTAAGGATCACTCTAGGCGGCTAGGTTAGGTTAGGACCATGGTACAATGTTTCGGTACATGAGCTTTCAGAAACTGGATAAACTGAATGTTCCTGAAAAGTACTTACCACTCAAACTGAGCAACTCTGTGGGTGGGGAGAGAGGTGGGGAGAGAGGCCTTCAGAAACTAGAGAAATTAAATGTTCCTGAAAAGTACTTACCACTCAAAATTTCTTTCATGTGTTTCAACCACAAGTGACAATGGTCTTCACTTAAGTTACTTAAATTGATGATGGAATCTTTAAGTTTGTTTCCTTCTTTTTTTAGACAAACAAAAATTGCGATGCCTAATAACAAGCCACCTTTTTGCTGCCCAGCAAGACGACGTCGTTTCAGTTTTACCGAAAATACATCTTTCATTTCAATGTATTCCTCTTTATGCTGCTGGCCCATGCTTGAACCACCTGTTCAAAGAGGAAGAGGAAGTTCAATCTCCTAGTAAAATCACAATGTAATCAATTTTAGTTCCTTCCTAAATAAATGTGCAAATAAAAATATTTATTTACTCTATTATTTCAAATGACTCCTCTAGAGAAGATTTACATAAGCCTGAAAATTATTCAGGACTGGTCCTCATATTACTAGCAGCACCATGCTTCACCACCACTGCTCCGACCCCATACTCAATGGCTGAAATCCTTTTGCTTCATATAATAATTTCATTCATTCATTCATTCATTCATTCATTCATTCATTCATTCATTCATTCATTTGCCACTCAATAGTGCAATATGCAGTCTCTGGGGAGTTAACAGTTTACACATAAATGCAAATAATCCAATAAATTAAAAATAAATTAATGCATTACAATACAATACAATAGAACACAACATAGGTCACTGAAGCCAATACGAATCAGAGCTAGAGCACATTACAGCAGTCAATCAGTGGTCAGATTTAGTGAGTTAACTCCTTTGTATATCCCATCGATTCTAATGGGTCTACTTTAGGTGTTACTTACTGTACGGAGTTGACTCACCAAATCCCCACTGATTCAGTGGGCCTACTCTAGTGTGACTTACCACACTAAGCAAATAGGATTTCTGCCAATAATGTTTAGGAGAAGCTTTCTCATAGAGAGGATGGTTTCATTTCATATTACTCTATTCCCCAGGAGACCACTCTCTCCCTTGATGTTTCCTAAGAAAGCCTAGCAACAAAGTAGAAGATGAGCATGGAGTCAACTGAGCCATTTTTCTCCTGAAGTTATTAGCAAGGGACCTTTTAACCTCCCCAATGCTTCTTAAATCCTCACTTCAAAAATTTAAAATTTAAAATAGCAGTTTCAGCGTAAGCCATGGAAAGTCACCATTACAACAGCATATTCTCCTGTGTCCAAAAAGAGAGTTTGCTGACAATAACATAAATTAGACTGCCACTAAATCCTTGCATTGAAAAGAGTCCTTAACTTTGTTCTGAAGCTGCTGAAGCAAAAAATCAAATAACATTTGGTTGTTTCTGGAACTCCAAAACCTGATGTTTGGATTAAAAGCTTGCTGGAAGGCCACCACGAGGACTTTTAAGAAATTAATCCACACATTCCATCATCCATTCACATCCTCAGCTTTATCAGTTGCATTGTTGATTCAACAATATTTTGAATCAATTAAGCTCATGCCCACAAGCCTCCTCCTCCTCCTCCTCCTGGTTGAAGTTTTCAGAACCATAACACCGGTGAAGGAACTACTGTACAATGTTGTAATCATTTTCCTGACATTTAACACACCCTACCCCCGCCATGCCTCCCCTTCAGGGTAGCCCTACAGTGTCCTGTGGCATAAATGGTTTCCAAGTTGGACCACGATTCATTCCAGGCATCCTTCTTTCAAATGGAGTTGGTAAGAAAGAGGCAAAAAAAGAGGAAATCCCTGGATTCAAAGTTCAATGGTCTTTCAGTCAGTCTCACCGTTTGTCTTTCACACCACAAAAAAGAGGGACAAAATATATTATGACGATTCCAACAGACTAAACAAGGCAGCCATGTACCACTTCCTAAAGGTCTGAAGGTCAGGTAACCGGTTCCGAATGCTTTCCCACTGCGACCATCACTGAGCTGACTCTCTACCTTGCTAAATGTAAAGTGCCTGTCCATAAAGAAAGGAAACCACCTGCTCCTGAGTATAATGGTAAAATGGAGCAAAATAAGTCCAATTCATTCCATGTGTCTTTCAAGCCATTCAAGGACGGTCTTGGGGCGGGTGACGTATCACAGCCTAGGGCCCAAGGTCAAGATAATCAAGGGTGCAAACAGAATATCTTTGACAAATCCCTCTGACCATACGCTGGTTCTAGCCAACCATATATTTTTTTTCTGATTTGTTTGTCTGCTATTGTGGTCTTGTCGCAAAAGAAGCTGCAGGCATTGGACATATCAGGTGTTCCAAACATTCCTTGCAACTCTAGGATCAATTGGATTTATGGCAACGACCCACCACAGTAGAGCAGCCTTTCTCCAACATAACAGGGAAAGGAGAGTGGCCAGAATCCTATTACATGACATGGTCAAATTAACAATGCCCAGGCAAACAACAGGAGGCAGTATGATCTCTCTCTCTGTCACATGCCTCACAAGTCGTGCAATGGGGTGTAGGGCCATTTTGCACAATCAGGCATGAAGCTGGCAGACTGTGAATACCACACCATCACGAGTGCAATAATTCACAACAGGATTCTGGCTGGAGTGTTAGTTTCACCATTTTCAAAACATATTTTCCAGAATAATCGTTAACATTAGAAATAATTTTTCTACTACCAAATCCTTTAACGTCACCCGAATCTCTGCATTTCAACCCTAAATTTAAAGAGGAAGTGTTTTATTTCCCATATCTTAAATTTTTCAGATAATCTGAACAAGTATTTTTCAAAAAAAAACACTAGAATTTTTTTCTTTCATTCAAGAACTCTCTGTTCATTAGTATCATACGGATTATTGCTAGTTGTTTCAAAAGACTAACTCTCCTCTCATATTACCTAGAAGGTTACAGGGTACCATCTGTTCTTACAAGGGATTTAAGTATACATTAGATATCATGCTATTTATTTAATTCAGCACCCACTTGCCATTGTATTTTTTTTTAAGGCAATTTAATTACAAGGAATAAAGATAATCTTTCCTGCCAGGTTGTTTCATCACCATAAGAGCAGAGCAGCCTTATAAAACAGGCGACTCTTGTTAGGCTTCTTCTCTTTTTTTAAACAACACTTAAAATTAAGAAAGGTCTTAACAAAAACAATACTAGAATAGCTCTTAAAAATATTATTATAAGCCAAGAGCTTGTCTCCATCAATTTTGGCACATCTGCCTGATGTAGAGCATAAACAGGATTAGAGCTGGATTTATCTGCTTGATGCTAATTGTGCTCACAGTTTCTGCACATGTCCACTTTTTCAAATACAGCATGAAAAATAAGTGTGACTAAGATACTAAATTCTACTGGCATGTGTTAAGCACTTATATAATTTTATACATATTATAAAATAAATGAAATGCCCAAACATAAATATTCTTTAATTAATGTCTAAAATCATCTTTGAAAATTCTTCTTCCACCAGGGACTCAAAGGGTGGAGGGTGCCAGAGGACACATACATGTCATCGTCTTGTTATTCAGTCTTCTGAGTTACAAGGCAAATCCATGCACACCCTTTAGTGTGTGCATGGATTTGGGGAAGGTGTTGCATGGCCTAAGCTCTTCTGGGTCGTCTCCATGCCTGTAAAAAGTCTCTGCCAGATAGCAGTCACAGTCCCAAGATTGACAGTTACTATGGCTGCTTCCTGGTATTTCCTGACTACTAATCCGCCAGAGCGGGCAAACAAAAGGACAGCCAATCCCTTAAAAGTGTAAGGGGGTACAGTATTGTGCCCCCATAATTTAAGGGGACATAGATGGTAAGGTCAGGTTCTGATAACATCTTTTTTTTTAAACACACGTTCTGAGCGTTCAGTTTCATACTGCTGCAGTGCTGAACCCATGGCAAAGAGGATCCATAACCTCGGGAAGATGGTCTGTCCACACGGCATTGCTTTCAGCAGTACATAGACTATGGCAGGCATTCAGCTGTGCACTTTGTTTAACACACAGCATTCTGCCACAGTTGCATGCACATTTCAATGTGCACCTACCATGACAGGGTCCACCTCCACTGATCTACAATTATCACACCATGTAGTAATAATGATGGACGTCAATAATTTATTAGTTAATATATAGTGTTGCCATTAGTTGGAAGCAACTTGGCAACATGCATCAAAAACAATGACTCAGCTCTCTCTCTTTTTGTTTCATATACATCTGTGCCTTAAAAGAAAAAAGAATTTTAAGAAGGTCTGAGATTTTATTTTTTTAAAATCATCATCTGGTCTGATTCAAGAACAGTGTGAGAGCGAAAACAGGTTTTGCAGAGACTGCTCTTCTGGGCACAAAATGCACATCCATATGAAGGGTTCTTGTGCCTCACGTACATGAATGAACGAACATGATTGTTGGTGTTAGCTTTCCCCAGTCAGTCTGGGGGGCTCGTGGATCAGGACAGGGTGCCAATGATTCATTTGCAAAAGGAGAGCAACGGTTCCAACATTTTTCTCTTTCTTCAGCCACCTGATTCTATACCTTTGTCAGGCATGAAAAGCACTATCTGCTCAAAAGAGGAGACAATCTCATGTAATCACTCACTCTGGAGGTTCCAAGGTTCCAGGATTGAACACCACTCTTCCCGGTAAAAACAAGAATAAGGCCGAGCTGCAAGACTTACAAAAATAAGTCAAAATAAAATACAATTAGCCTTATTGTGCAAAATGGCCATACATTGTATTCTTCACTTGTAAGGATACAGTCTACACACACATAACTGGAAATAAATCCCATTGTACAGCAAATGGGCTCAATGCCCCTGTCAAAATTTTTCCAGACAAATTTGACAGCAATATGATCTGATCCATTTGAAGCAAACCTACTTTTCACTCACAGCAAGAAAGCACAGGATTAAATAATACTGTGCAGTCTCTTAGAAAAGTCTATTGCTTCTGGATGAATGCAAGTTTCCTTTCTAAAGCATATTTGGTAGAAAGAGATGTTGCATCATTGTATATGATAATCCAGCAACCAATACTCTGGAAATGCTGCAAGTATGGTTGCAGAATCAAATAAGGCTAGGAAAAGTCAAAGCTATACAGTAGAAAGAATGAAAACACTAACGGCGAATTCAGTGCCAATTCACAGATGCATGATCAACACACAGTATCTCCTCTGTTTATAACTGACCAGCTGTACATGTGAAGTGCCTCCATTAGGTATGGGACAAAAATTATTTCTATGGAGTTTGATCTATAATGCATCTCTTAAGTCTGTTCATCATCTGATGTGATAATCATCAAGTAGCAAATGTGCATGTGTGCT